TAAAATAAATTTAACGAAGCTACAAAATATTCACACATTATCCTTATGTTATCACCCTAGGACTTGTAATCAATGGCATGAACATAGTTTTAATGTGACCGTTGTATAGTAAAAGCCACAAGCAAAAATGTATAAAAAAAATAAATAAAATAATTGAATGTATAATTGTACAACAAATTTAACAATGTGTCACTATGTTTAGTAACAGTGTGTAAGTTAAATAAGAGCCAAAACAGGTATCTCAGTCAAAAATAAAAAAAAATATCTTAAACTTCTTAAGGGCAATGAGCTTGGCAAATTCCATTATATTATTATGTTTCTGTCATGTCATTGACCCTCAAAAGGTTAATAGTTTCTGTACAGAAGCAGTCAATGGCCAGTGCAATATAGATATATGTTAACTGCAACCAATGACACAAAGTGTTAAGTACTTAAAATATTCCTTATTGGGAGCATATTACAAACACGCATTAAATACTGAAAATGATCTATACTATAAGTAATACACCTTAAAATGGAATGTATGTTTTAATAGGGGAAGCAAGTGCATTTCCTTTTAAGTGCTAATGTAAAAGTGGGTGTTTTTCACAATGTAGAATTGCATAATCATTCAGGGCAAAGAGTGCGTTTTTAATGGCTGTACAGAGCAGATTATATGGTTTGGCCTCAGTCATTGGCTTGGAACAAGAGAGAATTTCAATGCTAACGATAGCACAAGGTCAGGGAAATAAAGCAACTGGCTTGTAAACATACTATGGTTTATTAGGGAAACACACGTTGTTCTGGAATAAAATGTCTATATCAGTAATGTATGTTATATATATGGAAACACTCATTGTCTCTGACAGCTAACCTTCAACACTTACAGGCAGCCCAGCAGCATCTGTGATGTAAACATGGACCCAGGAGGGGTGGTCTTAGACCAATACTGAGAATATCCCTTCATCCTGGAACCCTGACAAACCATCATTCTAAGTCATCATCTCATAGTAGCAGCAATATGGCAACCATAAACAATAGACGCTGATCTCCTTAGCAATGACTTCCTATGCACGTCTTCTAGCAGGCTCTGCAGCTTCAGCACCAACACCAGCAGGTGCTCAGAGCAAGCACTGGATACACTGTAACAAATTCTTATTACGCATTGTGTATGGAAAGTACCCCTCGGCATTGATCCTTGAAAAATCCAGCAAAATCAGATATATCAATGAAATGTTACTAATTAACTATATAAGAATGAAACTGGTAACAAACGTATAAAAATATCATACAGATACAGAGAAGATTAAAATATACACATACTACACATATAGATATAAAATCAAAATACATGATATTATATCTGCATCTATAGGTACACATGACACACACATATATATACATCCATATATACACATACATATATATATATATATATATATATATATATATATATATATATATACACATACACACACACACTTACAGGCCAACTGCTAATAATAATTATATAAAGAAACAGGCACGTAGGTATTAGTTATGGCATAGCTGGTAGCTTACCTGTTCCCCGAAATCAATGGCTATGTTGGTGATCCCCAGGGGGACCAAGAAGCGGATGAGGGGCCAATAAGGGGTGAGTGCTGGGAATTTCACCATGATAGCGTTGGCTGAGGGTGGCTGAGCTCACACACATGGGATAATGCAGAGGCAGCGGCTAGCTCAGGCTGAGGCAGACCATGCAGAGCGAACCGTGAGAGGCTGGCAGCCAGCACCAGATAACGGGCCGCATGAGCATGTCTAGCAAGAAAAGCCAGAACCCAGGACCATCCCTGCCCTCCCACACAGCAATGATCTGCAGCCAGGGGGAGGAGGGACACTCTCTGCTGACAGATTTCCCATCCCCAGTCCGACCACAGGAACCAGAGCGCAGCCACTCGCAGGAGTCACAGTCTGGACAAATAAAAAGGGGGGAGGAAGGCGAGCACAGTGCTGAGTGTGAGTGTGAGCCCGGCCTCTAGCCTTGCACTGTCTGTGTGAAGCTGAGCTCCACTTCTCCCCCATCCACTGTGTGCGAATAGCAAAGAGGGAGGACTGGGCTCGCTCGCAGCTCAGTGGAGACACCTAGTGGCCTCATGAGTTGTGAACAAGAACTCATGCACTTCTGCCTTCTGGTGTTAAAACCAAGTGGCATCCCTGTGCTATTGGCAGGCGCCACCTGCTGCCCATATTTAGTATAATTTCACCGACCTTCATTACTCGGGTCTATTCTGTAAATATGTAAAGAAAACAGAAAAAAATATAGGATTATTGAGTGAGGGTACAAGGTAATGTTGATTTAGTTTTAATAATACTAGAAATTATAAAAAAGCTGATAAATTGTACAAATATCATAGAAATATCATAGAAAATAATACATATCAGATATTTATTAAACACTGACGGGGTTATTCGTAGGTTCATTTGCTGCACTACAGGGCTATTCGGACTACAAAATCCAGGCATTGTTCCAGACTATTCAGGCATTGTTCAAGTGTGCAACAATGCATGGATTTTGCAGAGCAGGCTGCAAGTGAGTCTGAATTCGGTCATGATTTCAACCAGACCGAAAACTGCCAGACGGCTGAAATTTGGGCCCTAAGACTAAAAATCAAGGCCCAGAATAAATTTTTCTTTGCCTGCTGCAGTGGTAAATAGTTAAATCCCCCTTTGACTATGTTGCTATTGCTTTTTGTACCATGTAAATCATGTACCTCCGCCCCCCTCAATCCCCGATGTTGAAAGGGTTGAAACTCTTTTAACACTTACCTTAAATGAAAACTACCCCATCTGAAAACATTGAGTCAATGCTTTACGATGGGGATTTTGAAGATGCTGGATGTTCTCATGCAAAGCGTGAGAACGTCCAACATAAAAAAAAAATGTCTCTAGTGACTGTGTGGTAGACAGGCACTAGAGCAGGGGTGCCCAAAAGGTAGATCCCCAGATGTTTTAAAACTATAGCTTTTCCATTCTTAAGCATTCTAAAGGCATGCAAAGCATTTTGGGAGTTGTAGTTATACAACATCTGGGGATCTACCTCTTGGGCACCCCTGAAACGGTGCAAGGAAACTGCACCAAGACCACTTTAATTAGATAAAGTGGTCTGGGTGCCTATAGTGTCCCTTTAATGCTGTTCCTATTGGCAATATGTTCAGTCATTTACGTTATTTTGGAGATAGTTTAGGAAGTATGTTCTGATCAGTTCATTAGCCATTCAAAACCTGCTACAAAGAAGAAAAAGAAAAGGTGGTGGGGTGGGGGAGGATAGGTTATAAATCTTCCCTAGGAGCTGTAGTTCTCAGTAGGGATAAATCTGAACCTACTTAATATAAAACCAGCAATACAAATGAACTAAAGGGTGCACAATAAGCGAATAAGAAAATAAAATAAGAGGGGGGAAGGTGAAAGGGGAAAAGGAGAACGATACGGGTATACATTAATATATAGTATAAAAACTGATAGAAACAGGCACACTTTTTGTCACGACCTGGAGGTCCCTCGCCATGTCTCTGTCCGTGGCTGTGGCAGTTCCCTCTCGGTGCATGCTGAGGACTCCAGCGCGCTCAGCTGCACGGAAAGCTTCCACTTATTCTAGGCTCACGCGCTCCTTCATCTGACCCTTGACCTATTTGCCTGTTATACGTTCCTGAACCTGTGCTGCCTGCCCCCAACCTTGGCTTACCCTGACTATGAGATTGTCTCATCCCTATTTGGTACTTCACATTTTGGCTCACTACTGCTTCCTCGGCACCACCTGTCAAAAAACCCCAACACTTTTACATAAAATAAATATGTAGTGTAAAAACTTTTAAGACCAAATACACTTAAAAAATAATGACCAATAACCTAATAAAAAGTCAAATAAAAATGCAGGGAAATTCTTGTTAGAAAAAAATGCTGTAATGATCTGCTCACATAATAGACCGCAATTAGAGTGAAGGAGTGGCTTCAAAGCCCTCTCACATACCGGAGAAACGTGTTTGGCAGAATATATTGACTGATAACCCCACTGGGAGCAGCTGACCAGACGGACATACCATAATCTCTGCATTACCTTATCTGGACTTTGACAGAGAGCTGCATTAGAGAGCCACTTTCCCTTGTGCCAGGCTACTGCATTTTCAATAAGAAGAACCTGGTCCCAGAGACTCCACTCTGTTAGAGAAAAACAAAGAATATTCCAAAAAAGAATATTTATTCAGGAAACTAATTTTTACTAAAAGTAAAGCATAAAGATAAAAATCAGAGATAAATCTCCTGAAATGAGTTTCACCTTCTACCTTAGGCTTCCTCAGTTCACAAAGATATATATATATATATATATATATATATATATATATATATATATATATATATATATATATATATATATATATATATATATATATTTTTTTTTTTTTATATATCCATGAGAGCAGAATATTGCTTTGTATTCTTTGAACAAAAGATTAAAAGTTTGAACAATAAAGCCATATTTTTTTTTTAAATTCTTTTTTTTTGTTATGCAGGGGTTAACAATCATTTGATAATGCCACAACAGTGTAGTCCAACATGAAAATAGAAACAGGTTTTGAACATACATGGCATGGAAGTAACTGCACATTTTTTAAATATTTAAGCAAGCTTATATACGCAAATCTACAGTTTTTATACAATAAATCTTTGTGTTACATACTGCGTCAATAGGTATGTTGGTATAAGTGTTAATGGAAACAAGCTAGGTAACTGACCTATTGTTAGCCATATTAGTAGATTATAACATGAGTAATGTAAGGAACACGTCAGTATTGAGTTAAGGGGAGAAAGAAAATTTGCCATGCTGTGTTGACTGACAGTTCTGTTAATGATGTTACCACCAAGTATGAGATATTAGGAAACACATTTATGAGTATTGATTTACATGAGACAGATTAGGTAGATTGGAGGGCAGTGGACATACTAGGTAAAGCAGGGCTGTACATATTGTGGTGAGAGTGTACACATTAAGAATGGCAATTGGAGAGCAGTATTACAAGGCCATTAACAGACCGAGTGTCCTCTGACATATAGATGTCTCGGCTTATGCCCGTGGCAGTCAGGCCAGATCCAGATCGCACCGTAGGGGGGCATGAATCTTCAAGCTTGTCTCTCTGGCTCCTTGCGTCGGCATGAGCTAGCATTTCCCGCCCGGGGTCGGCAGGAGAGTCGGGGTCTCTATGGGTTCCATGTCCCGCTGCCGCCCACCTTCTCCGTCTTTCACCTGCTCTCTCCTTGGTTTCTGGGGGTCCCTTTTTACTTGACGGCTTGGGCCGCGTGTGGCCTGGTGGTGCGAGAGATGTGCTAGTTTTGCAGAGTTTTGCACCTGTGTTGGTCCACCTGGGTTGCCGTCTCACCCGGCGCTCGTGTGTGGCACCGTTCCACTTCGGGAGGGTCTTGGCCCGCTGGGCTGCAGGAGGTGGATGTAGCTTCAAGGCTGTGCTGCATTGCCTTTACCTAATCTTTTGCCAAAAGGCTTCGAAGAGTAAGTCCAGTTTCATTAGGTTTGCTTCTGTCGCATCATACGACGGAGCAGCAATGTCGTCGGCCCTTTTGTTGTTCGCCCGGGTGAGTTCGAGGGTGAGCACTACAGTAAAGTGTATTACAACGATGATACCGCCAGTAAAAGTGACTTTTTTGCCTTTTTCATGCACAAACAGCACTTACACGGACGACATTATTGCTGCGATACTTTTTACTGTTTTGAAACACAAATATTTGTGTTTAGCGAAGTCTCCCGAGTACAACAGTACCCATCATGTACAGGTTTTATGGTGTTTTCAAAAGTTACAGCGTCAAATATAAGGCTTGCGTTTCATTTTTTTCACATTAAAATTCGCCAGATTGGTTACGTTGCCTTTGAGACCCTATGGTAGCCCAAGAATGAAAATTACCCCTATGATGGCATACAATTTGCAATAGTAGACAACCCAAGGTATTGCAAACGGGGTATGTCCAGTCTTTTTTAGTAGCCACTTAGTCACAAACACTGGCCAGAATTGGCGTTTTTTGCATTTTTGCACACAAATACTAACGCTAACTTTGGCCAGTGTTTGTGACCAAATGGCTACTAAAAAAGACTGGACATACCCAATTTGCAATACCTTGGGTTGTCTACTATTGCAAATGGTATGCCATTATGGGTGTAAATTTAATTCCTGGGCTACTATAAAGTCCCAAATGCAACGTAACCAATCTGGCGAATTTCTATTTCAAATGTAACGTGCTATATTTGACCCTGTAACTTCCCAAAACACCATAAAACCTGTACATAGGGGGTACTGTTTTACACGTGAGACTTGGCTGAATACAAATATGTGTATTTTATTGCAGTAAAAGCAAACAGTATTATGACCGTTAAAATGTCATGTAGAGGGGGGCGTGGTTTGGCGCTCGAGCTGCACGGCCGCATGTCGGAGTAGCTCCCGCCGATCGAGCCGCACGGGGCAATAAAAAAACCGGTCTAACGAGCGATCCCCACCGCTAGCATCACCGCAAGTACCCACCATGTCCCAGAGGCAAAAAAGCAAACCCGCGAAAGCGGATAAAGTGTCCTTTTTCTTAAAAGCCGCACAGATGAAAACGCGGGAAACCCAGGAACAAGATGGCGGCCCGCCGCGATCGCGGGAGGGCTCCCCCGCTTCCCCAGCCTCCCCTGACATGAGTGTGGACGACCAACCCCTCACGGTGGCCACCATGAGGAGCATGATGACAGAACTAACGGACTCAGAGGAGCAGAGGAGCCTCAGGGCTCAAATGCTCACACTGACAGCTGAGCTCAGAAAGGATCTGCAAGATATAGGGACCCGTACAGCACACCTGGAATCCAAAATGGACGACTTCTCAGTGGCCCATAAGCAGTGTGGCTGACAAAATGCAGGAACTAGAAGACACTATTACAGCCCAAAAAAATCAAGCTGGCAGACCTGGAAGACAGGTCTAGGAGGAACAACCTCAGATTTAGGGGAATACCGGAATCAGTAACAAATGCTGATCTAGACAACTATTTACAAGATATGTTCCAGCAGCTGACCCCTGAACTGCATCCAGATCAACTACTACTAGACAGAGCGCACCGTCTTCGGAGACCCAGCCACTTACCTACCACCGCAGCGAGAGACGTCATAGCGAGAGTGCATTTCTTCCATGCCAAGGAACGGATCATCAGAGCAAACAGAAACAAAGGGATGCCTGAGAAGTACCACAACATAAAAATCTTCTCCGACCTATCAGCAGAAACACTGCAGTTCCGCAAATCTGTGGCGCAAATTACGCTATCGCTACGCACACAGGGACTGAGCTACAGATGGGGTTACCCTGCCAAGCTGCTAGTGTACCACCAAGATTCCCTCCACTCCATCACGTCGGCACCACAAGGTATACGGCTGCTGGGAGACTGGGGTATCCCGCTGGCAGAGATGGCGAAAACGGGCCCAGCGAAAGTTCCTCGTCTGACTCAAGACTGGGCATCCAGATAAAGAGCCTCCATACCCATGCGGTATACGTAAGACGCTCACCCAAGTTATGAACTATTTTGTTGCACTAGTTATTATGCTGTTTCACATTTTATGTTTTGTTATACTACTACCACACACCCATAGCTTGCAAACGGGACTACTGAGGCCCCCTGACTTCCCCACGCACCAACTACTACAGTAGCTAACGAGATATACTCTCGGCTAGATTTTGACACTGCCCAATTACAATAGGTTAGGGAGTTGGGGCACCGTAACATAAAAAAAAAATAAAAAAAAATTAATAACACATGCGGCTAACGACACCTATACCCATAGTGCCCGGGTGCGTGCTGGATCAAGTGACTCCCTCCTGACGGGAGTGTCCCAACTTCACGACCCCACTAACGTGCGAGCGACCTCAGGGCGCCGCACTAAGGCTCGACCCAAAGGAGCCTAACAGGGCTATGCCCTTGCCTACCCCCTTTTCTCCCCCTTATAAGAAAAAGCCAGAAAACAGACGACACAGGTTGACCTTCCCTCACCCCCCTCTTGCCTCCATACCACATCCTTTTACAATGACTAATCACACTGAACCACTAGGAAAGTCCATATCCCAATCATCCCACTATAAGAGACAATCCGACAGCCTACATACACGGGTACCAACCCCAGCGAATCCTAGGGAAACCACACCAGAATGAGAATAGCAACCTATAATGTACGGGGGCTTAATTCCCCTGAAAAACGAAGACTACTTCTGCACGAGCTTAAGAAGAACTCAGTAGATATAGCATGCCTCCAAGAAACGCACTTTAGGGGTCCCACTACACCTTCCCTCTTTTCAAAACTATACCCTATACAGTTTCACGCCCTGTCAGAATCAAAAACGAAAGGGGTTTCCATCTTAGTGCACAAAGACGTGGTCTTCACTCCACAAAACAGCCATATAGACCCCACGGGAAGGTATATTATAGTGGTGGGGCTTTTCAACAACACACAATACACCATAGGGACAACGTACTTCCCGAATGACAACCAAGCATCGTACCTCAAATCTCTCCTGTCTAAACTAGATACCTACAAACAAGGGGGACTCATCTTAGGTGGTGACTTTAATTTCATTCAATCCCCGACCCTCGACACTACGGCTGCCCCGCGGGGAAAACACAAAACAGGGACCCAAGCCCTCTGCACACGCATAACCAACACCTTGACCTTGTACAACCTATACGATAGTTGGAGAATCTTACACCCTACTGACCGGGATTATTCCTTCCATTCGAGAGTCCACAACACCTACACGCGTATAGATACATTCTTCATAGATAACAAAACCCTACCACAACTAAGCGACTGCAGATTAGGAGAGATAACATGGTCGGACCATAGCCCAGTATACCTTGACTTGGATGACAAATACCAAACCCATGGTAGGGGCACTTGGAGACTGAACGAGTCTCTCCTCCTTGATAAACCGTTCGTTGAGCGAATGACAACAGAACTCAGAGAGTACTTCCTCACCAACACAACAGGCGAAGTCTCGGACTACACGGTGTGGTCCGCACATAAAGCAGTAATGAGGGGACAGTTCATCAAACAATCCGCGTACATCAAAAGACGCCACCAAACCACCCTCCTAGACTGCCACAAACAAATAGCAATAGCCACGGCCCAAAACAAAAAGACACCCACGCCAGCCCTAGCAGACAAATTACGTGACCTGTACCAAGACCTTAACAACCTTAATGCCCAAAAAACCAAGTACTTTTTGCACAGACTAAGAGCCACCACATACCACCACAGTGGTAAAGCATCTAAATACTTAGCCAACAGGCTCAGGACAAAGCAGGCCGCAAATAGAATTCCATACATAATAGGGCACACGGGAGACAAACTCATGAATCCCATGGACATAGTACAGGAATTTGCACACTTCTATAAACAACTATACAATCTAGACTCAAGTGGCGGCGCTACTGCCCCAGACACACAAGCCATACGCAACTACTTACGTGATATAGACCTCCCCAAGTTGGACCAAAACTCCACGAAAGCCCTGCTCGAACCGATTACTATGCACGAGATCCGAGCGGTAATTAAGAACCTGCCCCCGGGAAAATCCCCAGGGGCAGACGGACTCCCCAACACCTACTATAAGACATTCATTGACATACTAACCCCACACTTGCTCAAAGTATACCATAGAGCGACGGAGACAGGCTCCCTTCCTCCTGAAATGCTGGTGGCCACGGTAGTGACACTTCCGAAACCTGACAAGCCTACGGACAATTGCAAAAATTTCCGACCCATCTCCCTCCTCAACACTGATGCAAAGATATATGCCAAAATACTGGCCAACAGACTAGCATACATCCTTCCAACTATCATAGGGGACGACCAGACAGGCTTTGTTAAAAGTAGGCAGGGTAGAGACAATACCAGAAAGCTCTCCTTAGTGTTAGAGAAGATGAGGGGATCGGGTCACGGCGGGCTTCTACTAGCCCTTGACGCCGAAAAGGCGTTTGACAGGCTGAATTGGGCATTTCTCGAACATACGCTCCTAAAGTATGACATCCCCGCAATATTTATCAAACAGATCTTTGCTTTATACGCAGGTCCCACCGCCCGGGTACTGCAAGCCGGCTTTCTCTCTGACCCATTCCCTCTAACGAATGGTACGAGGCAGGGATGCCCCCTGTCGCCGCTACTATACGTCCTAGCCCTGGAACCACTACTGGTTCAAATTAGGCAGCGAGAGGGTATCCGCGGAATTGAGGTACATGGCAGGGAAGTTAAAATTAGTGCATTTGCGGATGACATACTTCTCTGTGTTTCTAAACCAGAGCAATCGCTCCCACTTATCTTAGACCTCATAAAAGAATACGGGACGTTGTCCTACTATTCCCTTAATGCCAGCAAGACACAAGCACTGGGAGTGCGGCTCAACCAACAAACACTCACCGCACTTAAAAAAGACCACAATTTTGAATGGAGGGCAGACACGATAAAATACTTAGGACTGACATTCACAAAAAACCCTACAGAAACCTTCCCTGCCAACTATGTCAGAGTGTGGGGAGACTGCCGCCAACTAATGAAAAAATGGAGCACCCTGTTTCTGACATGGACAGAGAGAGTAGCAACAGTTAAGATGTCCATACTACTGAGGCTTCAATACCTGTTCAGAAACTTACCAATTCAGGTACCTATGTCCTACCTTAGAGACACACAAAAAGACGTTAATAGATTTGTGTGGGGGGGCCAAAAAGCTCGAGTGCAGAGAATACTGCTACAAACACCGGTGAGACAGGGTGGCCTTGCCTTACCGGACATCAAGACATATTACCAAGCAGCGCTATTAGCAACAACCCTTCCCCACTTCACAAACACGGCTTTACCGCAATGGGTGCTTATGGAAAAACAGGCCATAAAACCCTTTGATGTACCCACCATAATGTGGCTCCCTAAAAAATTTCGACCAGAAACTCCACAGATGCCATCGCAGCTAAAAATAGCAGTCAGGGCTTGGGACAAGCTTAGACATAAACTGGTGACACCTACCCCTCTATCGCCAGCCACCCCGCTCAACACTATCACATACTGCATCCCAACCTTTAACGCTAAGCCATGGATAGCTAAAGGGGTCACACATTTGCACCAAATACTTGCGCATAACAAACTAAAAACCTTTCCAACTCTCCAAAAGGAATTCCACATACCAGAGGCCTCCCAATTCTCTCATATACAGTTAAGCTCATTCATACGAAAACACGCAGGGCAGTCCTCTGCCCCAGATGATAACCCCCTCGGTATGACGAAATGGGAACAAACAACCACTAGAGGTTCATGGGCACCGACATTTAAGCCACTATCCTGGTGTTATCAACTCATCCGACCCACACAACACTTTGCAGATTCTAATCCAGCCAAGCACTGGGCACAAGACCTACAAAGCCACATAAGTAAAGATCAGTGGGAGCGGGCTATAGTGACGACCAAAAAACTAATTAAGTCGGAGGTGCTATTGGAGCAATATAGGAAGACCCTATATAGGTGGTACATGGTCCCCACTCGCTTACACAAACTATACCCAGGTTCATCCCCGGAGTGCTGGAGGTGCGGAAAGGGAGAGGGTACAGTACTTCATATATGGTGGCAATGTGAACTAGTCACCAGCTTCTGGCGCAACATACACTGCCTGATTCAAGCCGCAACAGGCACCAAGCTCCCCTCCACACCCATAACAAGTCTCCTACTACACATGCCAAGCAATATACCTAAAGGGATACAGAAATTAGCTTTCCACATCCTCTTGACAGCTCAGAGGGCAATAGCTAGGTTGTGGAAATCTCAACGACCACCACTGGTAGCAGAGGTCTGCAGGGACATTGATACACAACACCTATATGAAACCTGCTACCGAGGGGTCCTTCCCTTAACAGACACAGCAGTTGAAGCATGGAGGCTGTGGGAAGTGAGGGGAACAGGAGACACACCCGACGGCTAAACTACTAGACGCACTCGACTCCCAGGGTCGATCACCAGATAACGATAGACAAGCGAACGACAATACACCATGTTAGGGACAAATGTAGAAGTGGTCAGACGTACGAACTTAGAACTTAGAAAATGTATGTAGGAAAATGACACACCCGGAGATCTCAAAAATTGCACATTGTGAATGTAAACATTGATGTAAAAAACTTGGTATGGACCCCCTTTCCCCCCCCCCGCTTTCGTTCTGTACCCCCTCCCCTCCCCCATGTCATGTTTGTGTTTACGGCATTGCCAAGATGAAAACCAATAAAAATCTTTAAATGGAAAATGTCATGTAGAACTAAAAAAATCAAAAGAAATCTTATTTTCTCCCATTTTTTTCATATTCAATTATGTTTCATAGCTAAATATTTGATATTAAATGAAAGCCCTGTTTCCCATGAATAAAATGATATATAATAAGGGTGGGTGTATTTAATATGAAAGAGGTGAATTACGGTTGGACAGACATGTAGCGCAAGTGCCAGGTTTTGTTTACATTTTGTTTCGTTCACAACGTGTACATTTGGCTCCGTCCTTAAGGGGTTAAATTATGCTTAATATACAAATATTTGATGTGACATGAAAGCCCTGTTTCCCATGAACAAAATTCTATATGATAAGTGTGAGTACACAAAATATGAAACAGTTGAATTACGCCTTAACAGACATATAGCGCAAATGCAAGGTTTTGTTTAAGTTTTGATTTGATCACAATTGGCTCAGTCCTTAAGGAGTTAAGACTCAGAATTTGCTGCTTTGCTGTAACATTATTTTAGTAGGTGATTTTCCTAGGACATCTCTTGTGTCTTTATCTGCTTCTAATGTGCAATTGCAGTTGCCACAGATTATTCATCTGTTCTATCTGTTCAAGCCCTTAAGGATGGAGGCAATTTTGCAAATTCTTATCAAAACAAAATGTAAAACAAACCTAGAATTTGAGCTATAAGTCTGTTCAACTATAATTAACCTGTTTCATATTAAGTGCACCAACACTTAGTATATATCGTTTTATTCAAGAGAAACAGGGATTTAATTTCACATAAAATATTTATATATGAAACATAATTTAATATGAATAAAATATAAAAAAAGATTGAGAAATTAAGAAATATTATATTTGTAGTTCTTCATGTTATTTTAACAGTGAAAGTTATAACATAGTTAACATTTACTGATCTAAAACACTCATATTTGTGTTCAGCAATGTCTCACAAGTAGAACAGGTTTTATGGGGGTTTAGAAAGTAACAGGGTCACAGATAAGATTTTTCTTTTTCAGTTTGGGCACATTGAAATTTGCCTGTTTGGTTTGCTGGGCCTATGTTGCCTTGACATTCACTTTGAATTTACTTACTGTAGTAAATAACTGTTGAAGCATCTCCTTGGTGATCACCAGAATTGTACTGCAATTAACTTATAGTTCTATCCAGATCGTACCATGCTCCAAGATCTTTGGAACACTCAATGACGTAGACCTAAAAAGAAGTAAATTCAGAGAATGTCCAAAGTTTATTGAACAGAACAATGCTTATAAGGCAAATGCAATAGGGGGAAGTCTAGGGGGAGTTTCATTAATTACCAATCAAATATTAACAGCTATTAACTAACAGCATGAACAAATCAGTGACGGAACATCAGGGGTCACAAAGGTTGCGGGTGCGACTGGGCCCTAGGTGTTCCTCCTGTCACAGAGGCCCAAGAGCTGTTTGGATGGCCACCTTAGAGCATGCCATGTGGCAGGTGTGATAAATGCCCTATCAATGAAATCCTCAACATTAGACCTATTTGCAAGCAGCACACAGGGTCTAATGCTGTAGATGAAATAACTGGTGCTTCTCTTGCTCCCTGTCTATGTGATACTCCACAAGCAGGCATTTCTCACCCTTCTTGGGGGAGTATGGGATGCACTGACGCCAATTTGTGTCCTAAAACAGGAGAAGTCACTTAGGCCAATTCCATATACAATCACACATGGCGAACTCCACACAATCACACTCAGCCATCCACACACATAAACATAATCACACTCTGCTAACTCTATACTTACATATCACATTCAACCAAGCCCTAAACATAATCACACTCAGCCAGCCTCTGCACATTCACACTCAACAACCACACACATCCCTCTCAGGTGCATTGCTTGGGGGGGAGCAAGGAGGTCAAAATGAGGCTTCTTACATAATTTCTTTTGCATGTGACTTTGTTTACATGGCACATCTTACAGATCAATTCATAATTGTTTCCAAGTGACCAGTGATGTTTACATTACTATTAACTGGCATAGACTTTATGCCTATTAATGTCTGAACTGTGATAAAATAAATATGCAGAGTCATTTATTATGACAAGTCATCGAGTAGACAACAGTACAATCGAGACTCCACCAAGTTACAGTATAACGAATGCATTCAGCTTATTGGCAGCGTATTATGTGGCTGTGATCTGCAGCCCAACAGGAAATCTTAGTATTTGACTTACAATCGTAACTGTCTGATTTAGTATTCCTTTGCTCTCCCCATCTCTCCTCCGTCTTTACCTTCTTTCAGACTTTCCAATGACCAAACCTTTCCTGTTTCTCCTCTTAACGTCCTACACATTTTAGTTTTGCTCTTTTGAGTCACCAACCCTGTTGCTGTTTTGCTTAGAAAAAAAAGGTGTTTTTCATCTGTCTGATCAAATAATACCGATCTTATCAGTTTGTCTGGTTTGACTTTGCCAGGCATCTAACAGTTTCCTCAAAACATATTTTTTTATTTTGTGTGTAGAGTTGAACTTGATACTGCTTAGGAAAGCCGAGCAAATATTTCTGGTTCTCAAATAATTAACATGCTTCTAATGAAGGATTTGACGAACCCTAGGAACCAGGCTCCTAGAAACATTCCTGCTGCTTCCTAACCTTTTTAAATATTTTATATATGTCTAAATGTCTAACTCCATTGTAGTTACTTGTAATTTTTGAAGCACATTAACACATTCATCTGGTTGTGAGCCATATGTATTGTGTTGGACCTCTCATAAACTATTAAAAAAAAATTACAGCTAGATGGTCATTTAATAGAGTATTGTGTTATCAGCTCACAAAATTAGGAAGAGACATAACTGTAATAATATTTTTACTAAACATACTCCTATTGAACTTCTATCCCTTTATATAACAGATTTAAATATAAAACCATGGAAAGTAGTAGGAATTAATAGACCGGGAGATCTATTTAACTTAGACCAAATTATCCAATTCCCAGATATTGTGAGAATATTTAAATTTCCTGCAAAAGACTTATTCAACTATTTTAGGATTCAATTTTTTTTTTTACGGTAAACTCTATATCGGATGCAAACATATGGGATGATATTTTTGATATTCCATCGTAAAAAAACATAGTTTCTAAAATTTCAAGTATTCTTGCTAATTCGAAAATAATTGATAAACCTAAAGCTTTTCAAAAATGGGAAATTGATTTGAATTATGGCATCAAACATGGAATAGGACTAGGAAAGCAATACACTGTATCAACCTTCATGAACAGTTTTATAAACTGGCATACAGATGGTATCTGGTGCCCACTCGTATAGCCAAATCGCAAAGAAACTCCAGTCATTATTGCTGGAGATGTAAACAAATAAAGGGAACACAATTACATATTTGGTGGTAGTGCTCATACTTAGATAGATATAAAAATAAAATATCAGAAATTATTACAAGTATACTTGACTTTCCCTACTCAATTACATCTCAGACCTTTCTCTTACATTTAGACTTTCCAGTTACAGATAAATATACTATATTTCATATAATAAATATACTATTGTCATTTAAGATATGTCTAGCTAGATATTGGAAAACACAAACTGTTCTATCTTGACCTGAGATTAAAACCCAAATTAAGTTTCAGGCAGCGTCGGAGAAATATTTCTATAACAGAGATGCATCGACTAAAATATTATATAACAGGATCTGGTTAAAAGGGTTTGTAATATACACTCATTCTTCTTGCCTGCGAGAATCCTTAACCCCTTAAGGACCAAACTTCTGGAATAAAAGGCAATCATGACATGTCACACATGTCATGTGTCCTTAAGGGGCTAATACTCCAGAGACCTCCAAAAATCTGTTAGCTTGGGATTACCATACCCCTAAACCCTGGAGACAATCAAATAAAAATAAGATGATTGAAAGGTTTTAGTGTAGTGAATGAATGAATATTGTTTGTTTGTTTTTTCCCTTTTTTTTTGTGTGTGTGTTTGATATAGAACGATAAACGATAAAATACAACAACGTTGATGTAATAAATCCTTTGACTAATATGAATAGCCCAAAAGAAAGGAAGAAGAAATAGAGAGGATCTACATAAATATTTATTAAGTGCTGTT